AATTGCTTCATCTTTATTTGATGTTTCTCTAGGACTCTGGCAATGGTCGTTGTGCTGACCGTATTCACATTTCCAGAAGTGATATTGTCTGCCGGCTCTCTATCTCGAATATCCCGCAGTTTTATTGCATCGTTGGCAATTACCACGTGAACGATGGCAAATCAAAGTATCTTTATTTGTCTCCCCGAGGAGAAATTAGTTTTGGATATAAAGAGATTGCTACAAACAGACAGAACCCAGGTACAGGGTTAAAACAGTTAAAAGAGACAAAAAAACATTAAAAGAGCTGTGCAAATTGCAATTCACCATTTTCTAAAGTCTGCTTGTACAAAAGTAATATCATATCATGTCCCTACATAACATTCAATTACAGGTATACAGTACATTCATAAATTCATGGCCACACGTTCATCGCTGATCATTTATGAGCTTAAGTGAAAGCTTATACCTGTTGTATTTGCAGAGGAACCCGTTCCCTCTTTCTCAAACTCCATGATCCCTGCACAGATCCTGCCTCTCCCTGCTCTCCGAGAACACCTTTGGATCCTAAAACACAACAATCACTGTATTGTAATAGCTTTCAAAATGTAGACATATTGTATTGTACTGTAATATCATCTCACCTGTTGTTTTGCCGGAGAATTGGTCCTATTGCCGGCACTGTTGAGCGGTGCGGGTTTGGTTGCAGGCTGAGAACATGTTCACCACATAGTCAATCATTCCGGCCCTTATTTGATCAGATATCAGCGCTCTCGGTCTTCTCTGATCCATATTTACAAACGAAATCAGTTGCAATGTCCTCTTTTACTGAAACATGGATATAGACTAAAGGCTGGCTTTCAGCGGAAACTCCAATTAGCTTGGAATTATTATAAGTTCATTTTTTGCTAAGATTTTCAAAATAATTACTGCAGAAATGCTTGAAATTTGCAATCATTCTGATTTGAATGTGCTTTTGAAAGCAGTGTGTTAGCATATGAGAAATATCCTGCAAATATATCGTTTTTAGCAGTTTGTGGAGAATAAATGACAAAAGTGTTTGTGTATTTTGATAAATGTGGTGATTGAAAGCAATGAAAGATTATTCACAGTTTGGTCCGTATACACTCGTGAGTTTTGTAAATGTGGCTTCAGGATTGAACAATGCTTGTTAGCAGTTGAAAAACACTGTAAACTGCTGTGATTTCTGGGGGTTTCTCAAAAGAAACTCACGAGCCGTTCGTTATGAATCATGTGTCTAATATAAAAGCTGTAACAGAAGTAGTAATATAAGTTTCTCTGAGAAGGGTTAGTCATTCTGACACGCTGTTTCCAGCAATCTCTCGTCTTTCTCTCATGAGGAGGCGTTTCACCGCAGGACTGAAGAAGCCACAAGAAACACTTCCATATCAACATTACAGAGGTGAATCTGTCCATCTTAGACACGTCTTATTCATGCTCGTGATCGGTAATATCTGCAGGAACGGCTGGATTTATGACGGGACAAACTCACAGAGATAATTCACACTTCATGAGAGGACCATTTCCACTTTTTTGCTTGCAATTGCTTGAAAAGAGAAAATGAGTCATTATTGTTTTACGGATAAAATCTGCATTTTTGCTTCCCAAATTATTAAAATATAAAAGAAACTTTTTTGATATGCTGTAAAAATAATGTTGTGTCGACAGATGTATGACCTCACGCGGTCTGCAGGGGTTCAGGGTTAACTAAAGACACATTATTAGCACAGATTTTTCATCTGCTTACACACATTTTCAAAACTTTGCCTCTTTTTTTTCAAAACTTTACACATAAATCCAAGAATTGCACACAAAATGTAAAATGCCTCTCATCTCTGCAAAATGAAGCACTGCATTCAGAATACCACAAACATCTCAAAAGCAGACATTTGTCTAACGTTGCAAACACCTTTGCCATAATATTATATTTTTGGATATATCATATACACACAGTTTTTGAAAACCTAAAGCTCTTCTTTCATGAGCTCCTGTGAACATTTCAAGACTGAAAGTAATTGGCAGAGAGATGTTGAAAAATTCAAAGTAAATACGAAACCAAAATTGAAACCAAATTATTATTTTTTTAGGCTACTGTGAGCATTTGTGGCTGTGAATACAGTATTACACACTCCGAAGAACCTTTAACTCGACCTTTGACCTTTTATAGGCCCATTCTGAAGCCATGACTGGTGTTCAATAAAGCAATGTGTGTGTGTGTGTGTGTGCGTGCGTGTGAGGCTCTGATGAATTACTGTAGTGTTTTGATAGGATGTGTTTGAGAAAGGAAATCAAGAGACTTCATGATAGATTTTTGTGTGTTACATACAGTAGATAATTGTGTGTTGTGGTTTGCAAAAAGTGTTTTATGAAATTGAAAACTGAGTCGAAGGCCGAGAATGAGTGTATGGTTTGGCAGATTTGGTGTGTGTCAGGTTTCAGACATTGTGTGACAAGTGAGGATTTAAGCGTTTGAAAGAAAACTGTAAATGTCAGTGGAAATATGATGATTAATAAGCCATCAAGGTAAATAAGTCTGTACCATAAACACAAGTCTCAATATTTCCTTTATAAAATGCTCAAAATAATAATGTGCAAACAGAAGGCCAAGCATTAATGACGTGAGATTTGCTCTTTTATGGGAATCGTCTTGATGTTTTTTTTTTATCTTTGAATCACAGGACTAATAATGTTGAACATCTAAAGAACTGTGAATCATTTTCTGAAGAATCCAGTTTGTTCAGAATGAACGTTGGCACAGAAAGTGCTTTGCTTTAATTTCTCTCTGGAAGAAGTGATTTCCGAACGAAGACTTGATTTAGTGTGACACTCCTGTGTGGTCGTCAGCCGCACCAAACCTGATTCACCGCAAACTTTCTAGACATAAATACTGGCAGAAAAATCTTAATTTTGAAAACAGTTGCATTTTGTATTTCTCGTTTCTGGACTGTAAGTTACACTGCAGATTAATGTGGGCAAACACTTAAATATATCCTTTCCTCTGACATTTATACAGTACGGCTGTTACTGACCAGGACAAGTGAGACACAGGCTGGTCCGGGGCATGTTGTCACACACACACACACACTCTTAAAAATAAATCTCAGCGAAGCCATAGAAGAACTGTTTCTGGTTTCTAGTGATCCGCTCTGAAAAGAACCATGTTTTTCTTAGTGTGAAGCACATTTTAATAATCTAAAGAACAACTTTTCCAAATAAAGAAATCTGGTTCTTCATGGATGCCAGTAAAGAAGCTTTATTTTTAAAAGTGTGTGTGTGTGTGTGTGTGTGTGTGTGTGTGTGTGTGTGTGTGTGTGTGTGTGTGTGTGTGTGTGTGTGTGTGTGGTCAATTCTCACAATGAAGACCATTAAAAAGCCTGTTATAGACTTAAATTATGAAACACAAGCAAACCACCAAACATGTAAAAAATCAAACAAAATATCGACACGTTTCGCCCAAGAAATTAGTAATTAATAAACTGAGTGATGAATTAACACGTGTGACAACTTGCCCCGCAAACACTCAAAGACAAGAATGATGTAGACTATAACAAATATAATGCATGTCGATGCGGTTATGAGATGACTTGATACTCGCTAATAAATATGGTGATATAAAAATGTTTTTCGAGAATAAAACTCCAAAAAAAAAGTCATTTAAAGCAGCTTTAGATGTTTGAAACCAACAGTGCTGGAGCAAACAGGCTCAAACCTCATGGTTACAGAAACAGAGCGTGTGAAATAGAGTAAACAGAGTAAAATAAGAGTATGAGTATCAGTAGGAGGCGCTATAGAGCCGCATCAATAAATCCAGCATCATCAGCACAGGTGCTTCAGTCAGGCTTCATTCATCAGTCAGTGTGTGTGTGTGTGTGTGTGTGTGAGTTACCTTCACTCTCTCTATCGCTCTCAGTCTGAACACACCGCGATTTCGACCTCAATCTGGGGACAAAACGAGGATGAAACTGGTGAGTTATTCATCATAGTGATTATTCATATTATTCCGCATCTACGCGAGAAGCTTCATTGTGTTTTCTTTCTTACCTTTGATTGTCAATGCACTTTAAGCTCTGTGATATGCATTTACCACCCGAAGAGAATACACTAGCAACAGATTATTAAACAGTTATTAATACTGCATACTGGACCCAGACAGGCGCTGTTTAAACCTCGTTCAACGTTATGCTAAATACAACTTGTAAAAATAAGAATTAGAAAACGTTCTCGTTTTACACACAGAAACAATCTTTGCAACGTTTTGGATGTTAGTTTACATATGCTTAGAAAAAGAAAACTAATGAGAACAAATTTGAAAATAGAAAAAAATCCACAAATGACAGTAACGCGTCTTAAAAAAAAAAACAATATATAAAGTGTCTTCCAGACTGTATTGTATCATGTTTATTATAAGACTTAATTTTTAAAGATTAATAAACGCAGCTATAGGCCTAAACTATTTTTGTTCAATCATTAAAGGAAGAATTAATGCTGAAAATCGAAAACATGAAGTTTATGTTCGCATGACACTAATAAAGTCTAGATTGCCAATTAATTTTAACATCAACATTTAATTTTAAAATTATAAAATGCCAAAGTTATGCGTAATGAAGGAACGTTTCAATTGAATCACTTGCTTTTTAGTTTGTAGCTTATGATATGGAGGAGTTACTGTCTGAAATCAAATATAAGGCTCGATTGATAGGGAATTTTCCCCCGTAATCTCACCGGCAAACCGTGTCCGAGTCACCCTGGACTCGCCCTAAAGTTTAATCATTTTCGATTACAAACTCTTTATTATTAGTTCTTCAATTATATCCCACATCGCCGGAGATTTGAACTGGAGAATAACATGAACTGAAATATTAAGCGAAGACGAGCACACAGCATATTTAATTAAAATGTTAAATAATTTATTTATAAATGCAATTAAATGATACCGTTTAGCTGCACATATTACAAAATAAAAAAAGTGATAGGGTTATTTGGAAAATATGAAATTCAAGCTATAGCCTATTTTACGAACGAATAGGCAATATGACACATAAACGTCGCGAGTTAAATAAAGTGCATTTAATTTGATAGCAAATGTATGAAAACAAATGAACGTTCAATTACATTAAATCATTTTATTTTACGTTTTTAAATAGCCATAGAAGATTGTTTAAATTTAGATGCATAAAAGCAAAAGTTTCGATTTGTTTTTAATGGAGCGGTGACTGAAATGCAGAATCGTTTTAATCCAAAGCGATCAAAATAGAAATAATGTGCAGCTGTTGAGCGTTTATAATAATGAACATTTATTGACATCTACACATTAATTCTCAGTGATGCCGAGGCGCGCGACAGTAACTGCCGGAGATCGAATTATCAAACGTCAGGATTCGGATCAGGAGTTCGGGTGGAGTGTGTCGGATCATGCCCGGGGAAGGGTCCGGTTCTGCGCTGGACGACGGGAAGGATTCACCGATCATTTGTGAAGATGAACTGACGAGCGGCCGGTACATACTCGACGGGCTCGGGTCCAATCGATACTTCATGATGGGCGCGACGCAGCAAACGCAGGAAAGTTCGAGTCCGTGTCCGTTGTTCCCGTACACGGGCCAGACCGGAGGAGTATACGCCGGTTCCGATGGATCGCGGTACGCGTCGCTGCACTACGGCTCCGTGATCCCGCCCGCGGGCTTCTGTCCGTCTCTGTGTGCGGGTCGCGGGGAGTTCGGCGCGGGATATCAGTTCGGACACGCTTCGGGAAACTCCTACGGCCCGTATCAAGGGCCCGGGATCGGTTCCGTTGCTCGAGCTCAGGTGTATCTGTGCAACCGGGCGCTGTGGCTCAAGTTTCACCGGCACCAAACAGAGATGATTATCACCAAACAGGGCAGGTGAGCAAGTCTTACAAATAAAGCTGCTGTTATTGCCATCGATGGTTTCATAAAACATTTGCATTCTTTATATTATTAAAATGTTCTTCACACTAAGAAAAAACATCTCAGCAAGCAATTTTGCGTTTAAAAGACGTCTAATAGCCGTCCAAACACAGCCCTGAAGTCTAGACTAAAACAAGGCATCATTTGGGCTGTCAGTGAAAATGTATAGGCTACATCTAAACCATAACTCAAGAATATCTCTTACACATAACAAGTCCAAAGACATGAAACCAAACACGTTGTTGTAATCACGACTTGCTTACATGATGGAATTATCCTTCATCTCGCAAGTTATTTTGGCAAAAACGACATGTAACCAAATTCAAGGTTATTTTGGCTAGAAGTGTGTTACTCATAGCCGGACTATAGTTAACCTAGACGGAGAAATGACGGCTATTGCATGCTGGGATGGTTCTTTTCAGACCTGATCACTGAAGGTTCTTTGTGGAACCAGAAACGGTCCTGATATTTCATCGCTGCATTAGGAAACCTTTAGGAACCATTAATTCTAAGCGTGAATTAATCAAATAGGCTAGCTCTATTTAAACATGTTTTGTTAGGCCATTTAAACGCTTTAAATTGTATAGGCCAAGGCAAAATCACAACAACAGATTTTATAATCAGTTTTAAACAGTCATATAACGAAAAGAATGTTTCAAATGTGTTTGCAAATAGTTTCGTATTTTTATCTGGCGCGATCGATCGCGGGTCGCGAACAGACGTGTTACTATAGCAACAGGAAGTATAGTCATTAAAAATCTATAAATAATATTTTTAGATTTTTATATAATAGCCTATATAGATATCTAAAAAAAAAAGTAGGCTAGTTTTTATTATTTATTTATTTTTAAACTACAGCTACCAGAAATAGGGGCTTTAAAAAAGACAATTCAGGTCGAATTAAAATAATAATAATTAAAAGTGGTCGTCAAAATAGAGGTTTCATCATTAGGCCTAAATTTAATTTAGCGCTTTTATCCAATGCGACCTACAAATGAGGTAGGCCTACAAAGCATTCATCACAGAGCCAACAATGCCAGGTTTATTAGACAACTACATGAAACCAGAGAAGAATTGTGTTATTATTATGTATTTGTGAAAGCATGGTTTGAGAGTGTGGTGTACGTGGTTAAAGTTCTTTGAAAGCTATAGTCCTATTTTTAATCCGCAATTTTGATAATTCATTCAGAACAAAGCTGATCAATCATTTGTGTTTTTAATCCCTGCACAGGCGAATGTTTCCATTCCTGAGTTTCAATATTACCGGCCTGAGCCTGACGACGCATTATAACGTGTTTGTGGAGATTGTTTTAGCGGATCCGAATCACTGGAGATTCCAGGGCGGGAAATGGGTCACGTGCGGGAAAGCCGACAATAATATGCAAGGTATGGCAGAAACCAAGTGCTATTGTTATTATTATTAATAATAATACTAATAATAATATTATTATTCTGTTGTATTTGATTGTTTTAGGGAATAAGATTTACGTCCACCCCGAATCGCCGAATACAGGCGCTCATTGGATGAGACAAGAAATATCTTTCGGTAAACTGAAACTAACAAACAACAAGGGAGCAAATACCAACACTTCACAGGTAAACAATGCACATTTATTTTATGAGTAGAACAATTAGCTACTGATGCTTAAACCAGAACTGTTGTGCTTTTTGGGCCTGTTTTAGTAGCCTAATCAAATGAAATAAATAAAAGCACATATTGCTTTTGACATTGACTCTAAGAACAAGGAGGCTAATATTAAATATGGGTGAATGATTTTATCCTGGAACAACATTCCAGTCAACCAATCAGATCTGAGGGACACGTTTATAGTTTATGCCAAGTCTGTGCTTCTACATCAGGGTTATTCATCATTTCCCTCTGGTTTTGGGGATAAGTTATGGGTAGAGTTTGAGATTTTCAGTCAGTGTTGTTCCAGAATCCAGATTGAACATAGGCTACTTGGCAAAATCACCATTAAATGATGTGCGTTTAATAGTCTCGTTTGTGTGTCCAACTCAGATGATTGTCCTCCAGTCTCTACACAAGTACCAGCCGAGGCTTCACATCGTCGAAGTGTCAGACGACGGGATTGAGAACACAGGGCGAGACTCTAGGACTCAGATCTTCACCTTCCCGGAGAACCAGTTCATAGCGGTTACAGCTTACCAGAATACTGATGTACACACTTTCTTTCTGAGCATTAATAACCCTCTGGTGCTTTTCACGTGTTTATTTTTTTTATTACAATGAAAATAATGTACTATATTTTAGTTCGATAATCTTTTTTATGGTGCTAAATTATATTTACGCTGTATTTATAATCTATTTACTCACTTTTTGAGCATAGACCTGAAAATTAAATTTCCAACTTAAACTGTCGTAAATCTTGAATGTTTTTGAGAAACAGAAGTTTGATCTCTTTTCATATGACCCTTGGCAGATTATTGCTGAAGTTAAAAAAGTTTTAAAAAGTTACAGAATTTTACATTTATTGTTATGAAAAATGTGCAAAAATACTATTTTAAATTTTTATATGAAATATATATATTAAAAAACATGTTTTACTCTAAAACTGTAAACAAGTGTGTGTTCCGCATGTGAGCTGATCTCTCAGTAAACGAGCGTTCAGTGAGTGTGTGTTCGGCTGCAGTTCCGCACGCTTCCACTAGAGGAAACTCTCATTCATTTACAATGCGCTCGTTTTAGACCGCGAGGAGCACAAGTGTGAATATTTTTTACAGGACCATTTAACCTGTTTGTGTGTGTTTGTGTTTACATAGCAAGTGCCAAAACATTTACCAAGTTTCGTACCATTCCGATCGAGAAACAAAAGTAAAAAAAAAACAAAAAAAAACAAGTTAAGCTCTTCGGTCTAAAATGATAGAAGAGCACCAGATGCATGAAACAACCCGGTCACACTGAATGCGTCTCTATAGCACGCATTGTGTTATTACGTGCATATGATACGCATGGGTAGGTTTAGTAGTGGTGTGTGTGTATTATAGGTATGATTAGAGGTGTGGGTGGCGTGTGTATTACACGCAATAAAGTGCGTATCATATGCACGCTAAAACTAATTTTCACGTATAAATTGCACTATAAACACAATACGTGCTATAGACACGCATTTTCATGAGCTCAGGCTGGGACTACACACACTCAGTTATTAACACTCACTTCTGTGTCGTTCCTCTAGATCACTCAACTGAAGATCGACCACAATCCTTTCGCGAAAGGCTTCAGAGATAACTATGATTCGTGAGTATGATGAGCATCACGGAGGTTTCCCCGCATGCATTCTCGGTTGATACTAACATGCATTGGATTTTCAGGATGTACACGCTTGCGGAGCGTGAAAGACTGACGCCTTCGCCGACGCACTCGACGCGCGCGCAACAGATCGTGCCAAGCGCGCGCTACACCATGCAACCTTTTCTGCAGGATCAACTCAACAGCCGGCTATACAGCAGCGAGCAGACCAGTGGCAGCAAACTGGAGCTCACGGCGTACGAGGGAGATTACTCCAGCTCGTTGTTACCCTACAGCTTCAAGTCTTTACCTCTCCAGAGCGCGCACTCGCTCGGGTACTACCCTGAAGGCGCGTTCGCGTCCGTGACCGCGGGATGGGGCACGAGAGGCTCGTACCCGAGGAAAGTGCCCTGGTCTCCCAGACCGAATCCCACCACAGATGAGCACATCCTCATGCCCGACAAAGACAGACCTCAGGAGGAAAGCCCTGTGAGCGCGTTCGCGCAGAACTGGATGGAGAGCAGCGCGTCCTCTCTGAAGCCTTCAGACTCTGTGGAGCCCAGCGTTTACTCGCTCGTGTGCAAGAGGAGGCGGGTTTCCCACGCAGAATCCGGGACTGGGAACTCGCCCAAGTGTGAAGAAGACTCGGAAAACTTTAACAAGGACACTTCATCCTCCTCTAAAGCGATCGGCTATTACGCGTTCTATGCCGCCAGCTAGAGGAACGCTCCCCGAGGACGCTTCCAAAAGCTCACGCACTCTCAAAAATAAAGGTTCCGAAAGGGCGTTTTACAATTGAAGAACAATTTTTGGTTCCCAAAATAACTTTTCTTTGTGTGAACTTGAAGAACATTTTAAAAATCTAAGATTCCATGAAACCATCGATGCTGCCAATAAGGAACCTTTGTTTTTGAGAGTGATTGTTTGTTTGAATTTATCAATTTGGTCCTTTTGTAATATATTTAAATCTCTCCCTAATGCATTATTTCTGTGCACGTTCAAAGTAAGATTTGTCATTTCGAAAATGCTGTTATGTGTAGCTATTAAACGACTGCTGTTTTGGATTGGTTGGTATATTCTTAAAAACATTTTTATTTTTTAATATACACTCTTACAAATAAAATAAAGGCTCATTACATTAAATTGATGGTTCTGTGAAGAACCTTTAACATCCTGGAATCTTTTCATCGCATGAAAGGTATATAGTGGATTTATAGTGGAACTATGTTCTTTGGATTAATAAAATATTATTTACACTAAATAATAATAATAATAAAGGTGCTTTTAAGAACTGATCACTGAAAGGTTCTTTGGGGAAAACCCCCTTTAAAACCTTTATTTATTTTTTAAGAGTGTACCGAATTAATTGAATAATTTAGACATGATATGGGTGTGAAAGAAATATCCAGAAATTTAACAAAGAGCTTTGAAAACTGGTTTTCACAGCTGTAAAATAAATCAAATTAATAAATCCAAATGCAAAAATTATGCAGAAAATCAATAATCAGACTCACTGAATCAGTAAAAATGAATAAACCGTAGAATAGAATGTGTTTGGTAAATAAGGGAAACGCAAAATTAAACCTCATATAGTGGATTATTACAAGAATCCAGAAGTAAACTCAACATTAAAGTTCTACAAATAGAGATACTGTATGTAAGATGATATTGAGCACACTGTCCTCTAGTGTCAGAACACAGCAGTGAACCTGAACAATATCCGATCAATTTGAATATGTCAAATGAAATGGTTCAATGATTAGAACTATCATTCAGAGAAAAACAGTGAAATATTATTATAATGTAAATCAGCTGTTTTCTATGTGAATATACAGTAAAGTGTAATTTATTCCTGTGATCAAAGCTGAGTTTTCAGCATCATTACTCCAGTCTTCAGTGTCACATGATCCTTCAGAAATCACTCTAATATGAGGATCTGATGCTCAAGAAACATTTATGATTATTAGCAGTGATGAGAACAGTTTCATATTTTTGTGGAAACTGTGATGCCTTTTATTTTTCAAGACTCTTTGATGAATAGAAAGTTCAAAAGAACAGCATTAATTTGAAATATAATCTTTTTTAACATTATAAATGTCTTTACTGTCAATTTTAATCAATTTAATGCATCCTTACTGAATAAAAGAATTAATTCATTAGCTTATTTTATAAAATTTAGAATTCATACATTTATAATAAAGTATTAATTTGTTTTGTTTTTTAATCTTACTAATCCCAATCTTTTGAATGGTTGTGTATGACAGTTTCCACATATTTTTGTAAAAATCTGAAGCACTTCAACTGTTTCCAACACTGATAATAATCATAAATGTTTCTTGAGCATCAGATCCTCATATTAGAGTGATTTCTGAAGGATCATGTGACACTGAAGACTGGAGTAATGATGCTGAAAATTCAGCTCTGATCACAGGAATAAATTACACTTTACTGTATATTCACATAGAAAACAGCTGATTTACATTATAATAATATTTCACAATTTTTACTGTATTTTACTGTATTTTTTTTATCTTAATTATTTCAAACTTTTAACTGTCAGTGCGAAATGCTGTGAGACGGCAAATAAACAAAGTCACTAAAGAATAAACACAAAATCAATTTATTAAATCGTGTAAAGTTTCTACCCGAAGGTCTTCATTGCATATTTTAATAAACAGATTTTGTGTTTATTCTTCAGTGAAGTGTTTTATCTGATTTATCTGTGCACCAGCCTAACGTTTCTGGATGTGCGCTTATTACTACTACTTGTAAAATTACAAAAAAATCAACAACAATAATAATAATAATAATAAATGAACTTTATATAGCAGCTATAAAATGGTTAACACAGAGCTTTGCAACATAAACATTCAAATGCATTAAAAAGAAAACAAAAAAAACCTTTAAATAGCTGCACATGATGATGTATGAGATTGAGGGAAAGTCTGGTGCGCAGAAGCTCCACACACACTCAGATCAGTGTGTGTGAGTGAGTTTCTCGGACACACACACACTCGGACGGCTGTTTTCAGTCATGCATGTACAGCTCCTAAAAATACTGAAATCTCAAAAACAACCCATACTTCAATCATACACACAATATCCGACACAAATCGTGTCATAACATCCGCAAATAATGGCAAAAACTAAAAAAATATTAGAAAAGATTCTAATGTGCAAAGTTTCTGATAGCAAGTCTTCCAGAGAGCTCTGTGGAAGTCCAGCCGAACGAGTGATGGAGATGTACACTACTAAGGGCCCTAGACTGAGCTCTGCGAACTAATCAAACACAGTCACTGAAGCTCTACTTTAGAGCATAGATTGATCTGGAACACATGCATGGTCTTAGACTTGGATGGATTTCCTGCTGCGATGCAGTTCATCTATCCATCGTCTCTTGTCCCATCTCGCAGCAGAAGCTCTAGAGAGCGTCGAGCGTCGCTGGTCCTGCAGAAACACAGAAACACGGTCATTTCCTCATCATATACACACTGCAGCATCAGCTCTTTCCCTCAGTGTCTGAAACGCTTCGTTTGAAGAATCAGTCTCTCTAAGCCCCGCCTCTCTGAGAGCAGCTCTGCTCTGATTGGTCAGAAAGCAAACACTCATTATCATATCTGAATCTCAGCTCTTGACACACAACGATACGAACAGTAACGATGGCGTGGGTTTTACTCATAGACTGTCAATAAATATGTGCGTAGTGTGCGTGACGTCACCCGTAGTGTTTCTGAAGAGCGTTTTTGATGGCCAAAGTGGGCGGAGCCGGCCGTCGCCATCTTGGCCGCGCGCCACTCCCGGATAAACGTAAATGTGCAGCGAGGCGGATTAGCTGAGGTGACGTGACGCTAACACACAGCAGACAAGCGGCTAGTAGTGACATCAGCGGCAATCCACCTGTCACTCAAGTGGCCACGCCCTTAATTATGCAGAACTTTAAGGCTTAATATAATTTAAACGGATGAGTTATAAAAATATTCACCCCCCTCACAGTCGTCATGAAGGGCAACATTAGCGATATAGACCAAAACCACTTTTTGGACCAGGCTGTAAACATGTTTAATTCTGCTGTAAAGTTGGGTATTTTAACATGCGGGTCTATGGGATTGAGTCTCTTCTGCAGCCGGCCTCTAGTGGCCAGTGGAGGAACTGCAGTTTAATCACTCCAGTGTTGATTCAAGAGAGAGACAGGACGGTTGCCGCTTGGTTTTACTGTATCAGTCTCATCAGAGTGGATTTGCTCTGGCGGCAGAAAGCGAGAGCAGACTCGACCCTCACCTCATAGGCCGGCGGATATGAAGACGGGACCGGACTGTAGTAGGACGGGGGTGATGATGCGGGACGCGGGTCTATGACATCACTGACCACATCAGGTGATGCGGAGCTCATGTGGATCACCATCAGACGCTTCCTCTGCAGATGCACAGAAGAGATACATATATATAAACACATAAACCAAAATAAGATTAAACTACCGGTAACTAAATTTGATTAAGATAGAATTTAATTAAAATAAAAAATGTAATATTGAAAATAAAATTCTATTTCATGCATTAGATTAATTAACTTGATTCAAATAAAAATACATTAATAAATAAAAATTATTAAATAAATAAATCTTGATTTAAATAAATAAAATAAGAAAAGCAGTGTAAAATCAAAAATAAGATTAAACAAATTAAATTTGATTTAGGAAAAAATAATGTAATATTTATTTATTTAAATACAATTGTATTTTTATGTCAGATTAAAATAAATGGATTATTTAAATAAAAAATAAATACAACATGATTTAATAAATAAAAATAAGAAAAGCAGTGTAAAATGTGAAAATAAATAAATAAGATTTAACTAACTTTTATAAAGATCACAATTAAGATAAATAATTTAATATTTATTTAAACTTTAAATAAAAAATAATTAATACATTAGATCAAAACTTATTAAAATACAAAAATAGAAAATAAATACAAATGATTAAAATAAATTAATAAAACTTTTTTTTAAATAAATACAAATAAGAAAAGCAGTTTAAAAATGTAATAATGAATAAATAAATACATTTAATTTAAATACATTTATTTAAAAAAATTGATTTAAATAAATAAATACATTTTATAAAAAAATAATGTATCATATGAATGAATAAAACTTCTAACAGTGCAGTACAACAGTGAGTATAAAAAAACAAGGATGTAATGTAAATATTTTACACATTTGTAATATTAAGTCTTTGTAAATGAAAATATAAAGCTGCCTTTTAAATGTTAGTATGGCGGCCCCTCACAAGGATGATCATATTTAGGGGTCCGGGGCATTAAACAGATCGAAGCCCACCATAGATGATGCTGGAGATTAAAATAAACACTGATTTACCGATTTACACCAGCAGCACGAGGTGGCGAAGATGATGACGGAGAAGAGGAGCGCCACAACGTTACAGGCCATGAACGCGATTTCAGTCGGACCCAGAGAAGGGGCCAAGAACTACAACAACCAGAATCACAAACACCTCAATATTCATAAACATCCGTAATATACTCATTATTAGGGCAGATGAATCTTATATCAGAGAAATAATGACTCACCACACGCACACTCGACGTGACATAGAACAAGAGGAAGAAGATGATGAAGACCGTCAGAGAGCTGAAGATATTGAACAGGTTCAGCACTTGAGCGGTGACCACCTGAACAAACATAATTCATAAACCACTTCTGCTTGCTCAGATTAAATAGTTCTGCACATCTGATCATGTGAGACGGGGGTTTATACTGACCAGACACGAGTTGCGGGTACAGGCAGCGATGGCTGTAACAACTCCG